CTGTGGAGGCCCCATAGACATTGATTTGCTGTTGGGTCCTCCCAGACTGGAGGCAATCAATCATGACCCGGCCAGTGAGCAGTATCCTCTCTATCTGCCAGCACACGCTATAGGCTCAGCTGGGCATGCATGTTAAGTGACTCCAGTAAGGTGGAGGGGCCAGATACCCCCATAATGGCTCATCTCATGGCCTAGCACCCCCTAACCAACCAATACCATACTGGAGAATCGTGACCGGTCGCTATAATGTCTCCCAAATGGTCAATTATCAGCAGAGGTTCCTTCTCGGTGGCCATGGGCAGAAACCTTCATCTCAGATGGCCCGAATATTCAGGTTTATGAATCAGTCCGGAAAGAAGTGTTTTTATGGATCGGGCCCCCAGCCCCGTAAACCCCCCCCCCCAAAATGCGGAGAAGGTGCGGTGCCGCATTCACCCCTCAGACAGAAGATTGCGCCAGGGCCCAGCGGTGTGGCCTTCAAAAGGACAGACAGTTGTGTCTCCGACCATCATTCCAGACCATGAGATGATTGCCGGACACAGACTGCAGCCAGTTATCAGGTCAGAGGAGTGTTTGCCGGCCCAGATCACAGATAAGATTGTGCAAAGCCGCCGGCACAGCAATGCCGGCGGCCATAAAAGACCCCCCCCCACCCCCACCGGGGCTGCCGATCAATGGCGTCCATTCGTCTCATTACTGCTGGAGAGGAATGTGACCGAATACACGGCCCGATACCGGCCAAGGAATGTCACTGTGTATATAGAGGCGGGGGTAATCTTATTTTTATATGGCACCAACATATTCTGCAGTGCTGTACAGAGAACACTGAGCCTCTGCACCAGAGGAGCTTACACTGTAATGTCCCCCACAGTCACAGACTATTATTACATATTATATAGCTCTGACATATACCGCAGTGCTGTACAGAGGACACTGAGCCAGTCACATCAGTCTCTGTACAGAGGAGCTCACACTCTAAAGTCCCCCCCCCCCCACAGTCACATCAGTCTCTGTACAGAGGAGCTCACACTCTAAAGTCCCCCCCCCCCCACAGTCACATCAGTCTCTGTACAGAGGAGCTCACACTCTAAAGTCCCCCCCCCCCCACAGTCACATCAGTCTCTGTACAGAGGAGCTCACACTCTAAAGTCCCCCCCCCCCCACAGTCACATCAGTCTCTGTACAGAGGAGCTCACACTCTAAAGTCCCCCCCCCCCCACAGTCACATCAGTCTCTGTACAGAGGAGCTTACACTCTAATGTCCCCTCCCCCACAGTCACATACTATTATGTCTTCCTTCCTGGTGACACCTCCACTCTCTCCGTTCTTGTCCTGGTGTCACTGGGGGTGACCAGGGCAGCAACTAAACATCCGCAGTAGTTGGGACTCTTACACACTCTACTGGAAAGGAAAAAACATTTCTGGTCACACATCCCCTCCGCTGGCTGTCGCTGCTTCACTTACAATGAGCTCTGTCAGGGCTATAAGGAAGGGATTAATGAGACAATCAGGGGGAGAGGCTGAGCACAGACACTGGGCCGCGCCGCGCCTGGAAATCTCCATTATGGAAGCTCTCAGCTTGAGATGTGCTGCTGCCAATGCCACTCAGTTCAAAGCGCTTTAATAATATCATAGCCGGTGCTGAGCCCTGGGAGAGACCCCCCACCCCACCCGCTGCTCCATTCACAGCAACCCCTGCAAATTCCCATCCCTCCGAGAAAACACAACGGCTGCAGCTGCGGAGTCCTGGGCACCAGTACAGGCGCTGCAGAGGGTGCATGTGTGACGCCAAGGTCACAGCTCCTCCCCTAATAATTACCAGATGTGACATTGCATCGTGTTCTGCACAGCACTATGGGCTTCAAAGAGATGATCATTAGATAGCAATATGACCATGCTGCACGTCCTTCCAAAATAGTGTCTCTGCCCCTCCCACAATGGTGAGATTTCCTCCAGTAGTTTGTGTCTCTGCCCCTCCCACAATGGTGAGATTTCCTCCAGTAGTTTGTGTCTCTGCCCCTCCCACAATGGTGAGATTCCCCCCAGTAGTTTGTGTCTCTGCCCCTCCCACAATGGTGAGATTTCCTCCAGTAGTTGATGTATCTGCCCCTCCCACAATGGTGAGATTCCCCCCAGTAGTTTGTGCCTCGGCCCCTCCCACAATGGTGAGATTTCCTCCCATAGTTTGTGCCCCTCCCACCAGTGATCATGTGACACCTACCCATACACAGAATGTCGTGATGTTCCGTACAGTCGCCAATCTGCACCTCGGTCTCCTTACACTCGGTCCGGCACGGCTGACAAGGAGACATGCTGCTCTTCACCTCCGAGTAGAAGCCTTTGGGGCACTGCTGGCATTCCGTGTTCTCTGTGCGGGAACAGTTCCTGATCACACCGAAGCCCTTCCCGCACACCCGGCAGGGGAAGCATTGGCTGCTGGTGTTATCCAAGTGCAAGTACTGGCCATTGGGGCAGCGTGGCCGGCACAGCTCTGTGGCACCGTTCACCTTCAGTAATGTGGAATCTGGGGAAGTGCATGAAAATGTCAGTGAGAGAACTAAGACACCAAAATTACATTGTCCCTAAACCATTGTAGTTTTTCTTCAAGCCCCTCCCACAATGGTGAGATTTATTCCCAGTAGTTTGTGTCTCTGCCCCTCCCACAATGGTGAGATCTCACTAAGACACCAAAATTACATTGTCCCTAAACCATTGTAGTTTTTCTTCAAGCCCCTCCCACAATGGTGAGATCTCACTAAGACACCAAAATTACATTGTCCCTAAACCATTGTAGTTTTTCTTCAAGCCCCTCCCACAATGGTGAGATCTCACTAAGACACCAAAATTACATTGTCCCTAAACCATTGTAGTTTTTCTTCAAGCCCCTCCCACAATGGTGAGATCTCACTAAGACACCAAAATTACATTGTCCCTAAACCATTGTAGTTTTTCTTCAAGCCCCTCCCACAATGGTGAGATCTCACTAAGACACCAAAATTACATTGTCCCTAAACCATTGTAGTTTTTCTTCAAGCCCCTCCCACAATGGTGAGATCTCACTAAGACACCAAAATTACATTGTCCCTAAACCATTGTAGTTTTTCTTCAAGCCCCTCCCACAATGGTGAGATCTCACTAAGACACCAAAATTACATTGTCCCTAAACCATTGTAGTTTTTCTTCAAGCCCCTCCCACAATGGTGAGATCTCACTAAGACACCAAAATTACATTGTCCCTAAACCATTGTAGTTTTTCTTCAAGCCCCTCCCACAATGGTGAGATCTCACTAAGACACCAAAATTACATTGTCCCTAAACCATTGTAGTTTTTCTTCAAGCCCCTCCCACAATGGTGAGATCTCACTAAGACACCAAAATTACATTGTCCCTAAACCATTGTAGTTTTTCTTCAAGCCCCTCCCACAATGGTGAGATCTCACTAAGACACCAAAATTACATTGTCCCTAAACCATTGTAGTTTTTCTTCAAGCCCCTCCCACAATGGTGAGATCTCACTAAGACACCAAAATTACATTGTCCCTAAACCATTGTAGTTTTTCTTCAAGCCCCTCCCACAATGGTGAGATCTCACTAAGACACCAAAATTACATTGTCCCTAAACCATTGTAGTTTTTCTTCAAGCCCCTCCCACAATGGTGAGATCTCACTAAGACACCAAAATTACATTGTCCCTAAACCATTGTAGTTTTTCTTCAAGCCCCTCCCACAATGGTGAGATCTCACTAAGACACCAAAATTACATTGTCCCTAAACCATTGTAGTTTTTCTTCAAGCCCCTCCCACAATGGTGAGATCTCACTAAGACACCAAAATTACATTGTCCCTAAACCATTGTAGTTTTTCTTCAAGCCCCTCCCACAATGGTGAGATCTCACTAAGACACCAAAATTACATTGTCCCTAAACCATTGTAGTTTTTCTTCAAGCCCCTCCCACAATGGTGAGATCTCACTAAGACACCAAAATTACATTGTCCCTAAACCATTGTAGTTTTTCTTCAAGCCCCTCCCACAATGGTGAGATCTCACTAAGACACCAAAATTACATTGTCCCTAAACCATTGTAGTTTTTCTTCAAGCCCCTCCCACAATGGTGAGATCTCACTAAGACACCAAAATTACATTGTCCCTAAACCATTGTAGTTTTTCTTCAAGCCCCTCCCACAATGGTGAGATCTCACTAAGACACCAAAATTACATTGTCCCTAAACCATTGTAGTTTTTCTTCAAGCCCCTCCCACAATGGTGAGATCTCACTAAGACACCAAAATTACATTGTCCCTAAACCATTGTAGTTTTTCTTCAAGCCCCTCCCACAATGGTGAGATCTCACTAAGACACCAAAATTACATTGTCCCTAAACCATTGTAGTTTTTCTTCAAGCCCCTCCCACAATGGTGAGATCTCACTAAGACACCAAAATTACATTGTCCCTAAACCATTGTAGTTTTTCTTCAAGCCCCTCCCACAATGGTGAGATCTCACTAAGACACCAAAATTACATTGTCCCTAAACCATTGTAGTTTTTCTTCAAGCCCCTCCCACAATGGTGAGATCTCACTAAGACACCAAAATTACATTGTCCCTAAACCATTGTAGTTTTTCTTCAAGCCCCTCCCACAATGGTGAGATCTCACTAAGACACCAAAATTACATTGTCCCTAAACCATTGTAGTTTTTCTTCAAGCCCCTCCCACAATGGTGAGATCTCACTAAGACACCAAAATTACATTGTCCCTAAACCATTGTAGTTTTTCTTCAAGCCCCTCCCACAATGGTGAGATCTCACTAAGACACCAAAATTACATTGTCCCTAAACCATTGTAGTTTTTCTTCAAGCCCCTCCCACAATGGTGAGATCTCACTAAGACACCAAAATTACATTGTCCCTAAACCATTGTAGTTTTTCTTCAAGCCCCTCCCACAATGGTGAGATCTCACTAAGACACCAAAATTACATTGTCCCTAAACCATTGTAGTTTTTCTTCAAGCCCCTCCCACAATGGTGAGATCTCACTAAGACACCAAAATTACATTGTCCCTAAACCATTGTAGTTTTTCTTCAAGCCCCTCCCACAATGGTGAGATCTCACTAAGACACCAAAATTACATTGTCCCTAAACCATTGTAGTTTTTCTTCAAGCCCCTCCCACAATGGTGAGATCTCACTAAGACACCAAAATTACATTGTCCCTAAACCATTGTAGTTTTTCTTCAAGCCCCTCCCACAATGGTGAGATCTCACTAAGACACCAAAATTACATTGTCCCTAAACCATTGTAGTTTTTCTTCAAGCCCCTCCCACAATGGTGAGATCTCACTAAGACACCAAAATTACATTGTCCCTAAACCATTGTAGTTTTTCTTCAAGCCCCTCCCACAATGGTGAGATCTCACTAAGACACCAAAATTACATTGTCCCTAAACCATTGTAGTTTTTCTTCAAGCCCCTCCCACAATGGTGAGATCTCACTAAGACACCAAAATTACATTGTCCCTAAACCATTGTAGTTTTTCTTCAAGCCCCTCCCACAATGGTGAGATCTCACTAAGACACCAAAATTACATTGTCCCTAAACCATTGTAGTTTTTCTTCAAGCCCCTCCCACAATGGTGAGATCTCCCAGTAGTGGTGTCTCTGCCCCTCCCCCATTGGTGAGATCTCCTCCCAGTGGTTGTGTCTCTGCCCCTCCCACAATGGTGAGATATCCTCCCAGTAGTTGTGTCTCTGCCCCTCCCACAATGGTGCGATCTCCCAGTAGTTTGTGTCTCTGCCCCTCCCACAATGGGGACATTTCCCCCCAGGTTGTGATTTATTTTCCTCCTCCTCCTCCTAATCTCGGATTTCGGATCTGGGTGGAGTTGGTGTTCACTTACCGTTGCATTGGTCACATTTGGTGTCAGAGTCTCCACATGGCACAAACACCCCGGAGCCCAGCGGGCACTCAGCGCAGCACACGTCCGCCTCGTTGAACATCCCGCTCCTGCACACATAGGCGGTCACCACCTGCGAAGGAAAGAGAAGAATAAGATTGAGACTACAACTCCCATCATTCATTTCCATTTCATTGTAGAACTTTAATGTAACTTGAACGAGGCGGACGAGTCAGGAGAGAGTCAGAGACCGGGGGACATGTTAAAGGAGACTGCTAGACATCATCATTGGAACTTCAGTCTCTGACCGCCCCCCCAGGGAACGAGTCTCCGGTCCCTGACCTTCCCATAGTCTCTGACCTTCCCATAGTCTCTGACTGTCTCTTGCAATTGGCGTGTTGATTGCAATGATCGCCAGCTGTGCTGTAGACAAATCACTAGTATTGATAACGTGTCTCTGATCAATAATTGTCCCGTGTGATCGGTGTCACGGGTTGTTTTTGTACCCAGAATGTTCATTGTATATTACAGGAGCCTTATCCCCCCTCCATGTTGACCCCTCCCATCCCCCATCCCAGGGACATTAGCATGCGATGGGCCCGCTTTGCACATCACAGGGTCTTTTTAGGAAATGGATTAGAATAGACACGGAAGCTGCGGAAACATTCGGTCTGGTTATTTCCGGGATTCGGATCCGAAATTCAACTCGGTTCGGGATTCGGATTAAATCCAAATTTCGTTCGTTTCGGAGTTTGCGAATATCACAGAAAACCAGATACAGATATTAAAAGGAGAACTATGAGGGGGAGGGGCTTTTCACAATGAGACTGTCACAGGTCGGCTCAGTAGATCTGCCTCTAGATAGGAGGAGCCAGCTGTCAGTCACGCAGCTGGGCGGATCTCGACATCGATGTCGGGATCCGCTCTGGCTGCGGCGTCTCAGTATACCGCGAGTTGTAGCTCCCTATATACTGAGCTTAGGGTGACGGGAGGACGCTAGTTGTGTCCTCCCGTTACCCTAAGGAGGACTATGGGGAAAAGCCTTAACCCCATAGTTCTCCTTTTGATCCTAAAGCCGAGGCTCCCCGACCCGAATGGCATTCAGGATCCGAATTTTCAAATTGTATTTAAATGATCCCCAATGCCATTCGGGTCGGGGAGCCTCGGCTTTAGGAATATCTGTTTGCCCTTTCGGATGCATTAAACGGAAAAACACATCTGATTGGCCGGAAAAGTCACATGTCCCACTCAGTTTAGTTTTTGACGGGATCCGAAATCCGGAAAAAGGAAATTTCGGATTCAGACGCATTGCGGAAAATTCGTACGAATCGCCATTCGGAACTAAACGAATCGCAAGCGTCCAGACCGGAACCCGTCACACATAGGAGCGCCAAACACGTGTTTATCTGATTGGCCGGAAAAGTCACATGTCCCACTCAGTTTAGTTTTTGACGGGATCCGAAATCCGGAAAAAGGAAATTTCGGATTCAGACGCATTGCGGAAAATTCGTACGAATCGCCATTCGGAACTAAACGAATCGCAAGCGTCCAGACCGGAACCCGTCACACATAGTCTATATGGAAGTATTGGGGGGTCTACTAGCCCCCCGATGTCTCAGGTCCTCTATATGGAGGTATTGGGGGGGGGGTCTACTAGGCCCCCAATGTCACCGGTCCTCTATATGGAGGTATTGGGGGGGGTCTACTAGCCCCCCAATGTCTCAGGTCCTCTATATGGAGGTATTGGGGGGTCTACTAGCCCCCCGATGTCACAGGTCCTCTATATGGAAGTATTGGGGGGTCTACTAGCCCCCCGATGTCTCAGGTCCTCTATATGGAGGTATTGGGGGAGGGTCTACTAGGCCCCCAATGTCACCGGTCCTCTATATGGAGGTATTGGGGGGGTCTACTAGCCCCCCGATGTCTCAGGTCCTCTATATGGAGGTATTGGGGGGGGGGTCTACTAGGCCCCCAATGTCACCGGTCCTCTATATGGAGGTATTGGGGGGGGTCTACTAGCCCCCCAATGTCTCAGGTCCTCTATATGGAGGTATTGGGGGGTCTACTAGCCCCCCGATGTCACAGGTCCTCTATATGGAAGTATTGGGGGGTCTACTAGCCCCCCGATGTCTCAGGTCCTCTATATGGAGGTATTGGGGGAGGGTCTACTAGGCCCCCAATGTCACCGGTCCTCTATATGGAGGTATTGGGGGGGTCTACTAGCCCCCCGATGTCTCAGGTCCTCTATATGGAGGTATTGGGGGGGTCTACTAGCCCCCCGATGTCTCAGGTCCTCTATATGGAGGTATTGGGGGGGGGTCTACTAGGCCCCCAATGTCACCGGTCCTCTATATGGAGGTATTGGGGGGGGTCTACTAGGCCCCCATCTGCCTCTAGATAGGAGGAGCCAGCTGTCAGTCACGCAGCTGGGCGGATCTCGACATCGATGTCGGGATCCGCTCTGGCTGCGGCGTCTCAGTATACCGCGAGTTGTAGCTCCCTATATACTGAGCTTAGGGTGACGGGAGGACGCTAGTTGTGTCCTCCCGTTACCCTAAGGAGGACTATGGGGAAAAGCCTTAACCCCATAGTTCTCCTTTTGATCCTAAAGCCGAGGCTCCCCGACCCGAATGGCATTCAGGATCCGAATTTTCAAATTGTATTTAAATGATCCCCAATGCCATTCGGGTCGGGGAGCCTCGGCTTTAGGAATATCTGTTTGCCCTTTCGGATGCATTAAACGGAAAAACACATCTGATTGGCCGGAAAAGTCACATGTCCCACTCAGTTTAGTTTTTGACGGGATCCGAAATCCGGAAAAAGGAAATTTCGGATTCAGACGCATTGCGGAAAATTCGTACGAATCGCCATTCGGAACTAAACGAATCGCAAGCGTCCAGACCGGAACCCGTCACACATAGGAGCGCCAAACACGTGTTTCTGATATGTATGTATGTATGTATGTATGTATGTATGTATGTATGTATGTATGTATGTGGGGGGAGGGGATAAAAGATTTTGGGTGCGTTACTGTAATCTTATTTTTGGCCCCCAATGTCACCGGTCCTCTATATGGAGGTATTGGGGGGGGTCTACTAGCCCCCCAATGTCTCAGGTCCTCTATATGGAGGTATTGGGGGGTCTACTAGCCCCCCGATGTCACAGGTCCTCTATAGGGAGGTATTGGGGGGTCTACTAGCCCCCCGATGTCTCAGGTCCTCTATATGGAGGTATTGGGGGGTCTATTAGCCCCCCAATGTCACCGGTCCTCCATATGGAGGTATTGGGGGGTCTACTAGGCCCCCGATGTCACAGGTCCTCTATATGGAAGTATTGGGGTTCTCTTGCTGGGGGATTTGCCATTGAACTCATATCGCAGAGATTGCAGCAGCAGGAGTGAGACTGCACAGCAGCAGGAGATCTCACCAGCAGATGAAGTGGGTGAAACCCGACCGCGGCCATCCCCCGCCCTGCGGAGCCAATACAAACACGGAGCGCGCTGCGGTGCCGGACAAGACGCCATTCTTCCAGCGCCGCCGCCCTCGTCCAATCAGCGGCTCGGGTTTCCGTGTTTGTGGAATGA